GAATAACCAATCAGAAGCTCAGAATGTCCCCTAGTGGCTTTTTCAGCCATTTTAACAGACTTCACGCCATTTCTATCTTAAGAACCAATATTTCAATGAGGTAGGGTGTCTTTAGTCTGCTTGAAATTTCATATTTTATTTAGACTAAAATACATCTTAGTTACTAAGCTTTATAAATTGTAGTGGAATTCTATGGTATTGATCTAGTAATTTATTATTTTTTAGTTATTTGAATGTACATATAAAACCTAAAAAAAATATTTTGTTTCATATCTTCCATGTGCAAAATTTTTAAAGGCTTAGCAACCAAGTACAAAGGCCATAACTAGAAGAGATAATTGTTTGCTTTACTTCTTTATTTACTGTTCATTTTAGGAAAAATATGTTTAAGAACTTATTTTGAAATAGCAATAATCTATATACATGTATAATGTATAATTATTGAAATTTGACTGTATTTTACAAAATACTAGTCTACTAAAACACAGCCAAGACAAGTTACTTTGCACAGACCAAAGGTCAGTTTTATAGTATTTGATAGGTAACATGAGTGCACGTGAGCTGCATCATTGTTATAATTTGTATTCATTCTAGAATGAAAGAGTCATAATTGATATTTATTTCCTAATTGTTATGGTGGTTGCGAGATCAGTCAAACCTACCGAACCCGTACAGAGATTAATTACTGAAAGTAATAGATAAAATATAAAGTTTTTTTCTGGACATTATAAAGATTTTGCATGTGAAAATTAAAAATTTTCTGATGCTTAAAAGTATTTTTAATCTTAAAATGAATATTACTTAGCATGATAGATAAGCAACATGTGAAAAGTAAAAAAAGACACGAGAAAAACATTGCTTTATAAACTTTAAGACTTAATAAAAAAAAATTATTTTGTGTATGAAAGCATTGTAATGTTTACTGATAATCTGCCAAATTTCATTAACATTAGTTTACTAATTAAACAGTTATAGCAGGAAAACTATAACAAGCACAAAATGATTAAGAAGTCGGTCCAAGGGACGAAGCCCATGCTGAAAGAGTTAAAAACATATTTCTGTACAGTGTCTTTGTTTTCATTTTCTTTTTTATTCTTGTACTTGTGTTGTTGTTTTTTCTATTTCTTGCACACTTGAATGGTAAGTATGAAATTGAAATTGAAGCAATGGAGATCTAGGTCAAGCAACATCACTAAGAATGTGTTTTGTTTAAAGAAATTTCTCCTGAAATAGATAAATATAAGCAGGCCATCTAAACAAAATTGAAATGGTCTCCAACTGCCTGGTTCAGAGCAACAACTGTGGAGATGGTCTTTCATGAAATAGGCCACAACTGCCTGATCGAGGGTGACAATATTAAAGATGATTGTATAGAATATCTTTACAGTTATTGCCCTGAACTAGGTAGTTGTCTCCATTTCATCTATAAAAATTGAAACAGCTTTCTTCTTTGTATTAGTGCTCAAGACACAAACATCTCAGAATGTTATGTAAAATATGCTAATCAGTGCTCAAGACAAAATCTCAATGTTATGTGAAATATGTTAATCAGTGCTCAAGACACAAACATCTCAGAATGTTATGTGAAATATGTTAATCAGTGCTCAGGACAAAATCTCAATGTTATGTGAAATATGTTAATCAGTGCTCAAGACATAAAATCTCAGAATGTTATGTGAAATATGTTAATCAGTGCTCAGGACAAAATCTCAATGTTATGTGAAATATGTTAATCAGTGCTCAAGACACAAACATCTCAGAATGTTATGTGAAATATGTTAATCAGTGCTCAGGACAAAATCTCAATGTTATGTGAAATATGTTAATCAGTGCTCAAGACACAAACATCTCAGAATGTTATGTGAAATATGTTAATCAGTGCTCAGG